AACCAGAATACATCCAGCCGAAGGTGGTCTCTGCACGGAGCCTGGGGGTCCTCAGCACCTCTCCCATGCTCGCTAGTTGACCCAACTATTGATCGTGCACTTCTCTCTCCAATAAGAGTTTCATTTCCATTGCATTTACTTTTATGGTCACCTTCTGGGGATGACAAGTGATACTGGTTTTCACTATATCAGAGTGGAATTAATTTCCTTCTTAAATAAATTTGTTTAGGTTAAGAAACGTTTAAAAAAAAAGAAGGAAATTAAAATATTAAACCAAACATCTGGACAATGATGTGTGAAAGGCTGGGGTTTGGGAAGCAGAATCCTCCCCCCTCCTACCTGGCAGAGGAAGCAGTGGGGGCTGATACAATGGGGCTTGCATGGAGTCTGATCTAGAAGGTGGGTCTCCAATCTTCCAGCTCACTGAGCTGTGCTGGCACAGGATGAACAAACCTTGGTACTAACAGGCTGGTCAGCCCCACGACTGGCCATGGGGACAGACTCTGCCTGCTCTGGATGCTGGCCATAAGGGAAGGGGGCAACGGGGACCCGGTGATAGAGGGGAGCCAGCCTGCACCCTTTTGGAAGTGTAGTCCTGAGCCAGATGCAGCCAAATCTCCAGCAGCGCATCCTAGACGTATAGAATCAGACCTTCTGGGTGTGGGTTCTGGCCCAAGAACCTACCTTTTAAACACTCTCTGCCAGGGGATTCTTGTCCACTGTGAAGTTTCAGAACTGCCCTCAACGGGAGCTCACCATCTGGGCTGGAGAGGGTGGAACCCAGAGGCAGATCTTGGCGTGGTCTGACCTCCCGTGCCCAGCCTCTGCCGCTTCTTGCTGAGTTACCTCGGGCGAGATATTTTACTTATCAGAGCCTGTTTCCTCCCCCGGAAAAGAAAGTCAAAATACCCACCCAATGGGGGCAGGTGTAATGTGATCATGTGTAGAAGATTCTGGGCACCAGGGAACCCTGAAAAATGGCATTTTCCCATCTCCTTAAGAAGCCAGAAGCCACCTGGCTGAATTATTTCCTCTATTTCCTCTTCCTTCTGCTCTGTGGTTCCCAGACTTGGGGTTTGGGGACTAGGTGGGACGCGTACTGCAGCCATCCGGAGAGCCAGGCCCTGTGGCAGCCTCATCTTGGGGCTGGATCCTTGATGGGAGAGGAGAGCCTCACCCCAGGCCAGCCCGGGCCCTGGGGGACGGGGCTCCAGAATAGACAGTCCCCCTCGAGAATGGTCTCTGACCGCAGGGTCTCCTGGGAGGAGGGGCATGTTCTTGGCAGAGGGTGGGGGCTGATTTCTGATAGTTCTGCGGGAGGGGCTGGGAGGTGATAACGCACACCCGCTTTTCGATCTAAGATAAACAAATGGTTGAATGAGTGATTAAGAAAACCAACAGAAAAGGTAAGCAGAGAATTGAAATAAGGCAGGGAGACTGAGTCAGGGTGGGAGGTGGTTGCTTCAGGTGGGAGGGCAGGGACCTTTCTCAGGGAGTGACTGGCAGCTGAGCTCTGGATGACCGAAGGGGCCGATCTTGCAAAGAGCCCAGGGAAGTCCATCCGGGAGAGGCCCCTAAGCCAGCCAGGCTTGGCCAGGAACCTAAAGCAGAGAGAGAAAGGAAGGAAACTCTCCGCCTTGCCTTTTCTGACCTGCGTTGAGTTTTCACAAACTACTTTAAAACTTCTTTAAGTGAAAAAAAGAAAAGAGGACCCCCAAGCTCTAGAGCCAGCCAGGCCCTCACTCCCTGTTGTCCAGGCTGCCCCGGTGAGGTCGGCTCCGGGGTGACCTCAGTGGTGAGCAAGGGCACCTTGCACCCCAAGGGAACACCCCAACCCCCCTCCAGGGGGCACTGACACAAGGGAGACGGGGGGATAGGAGCCCCAGCCCCAGCGCACGTCGCAGCAACAGAGACAATGCGTGAAAGGAGTGTGGGTATTTGGGAGAGGCTCCTGCTGGGAAAACAGGCAGAGTCGTGGAGAAGGCAGCTGCCCATCGTGCCCCTGGGCTGGCACCTCCCCCCGCCACCGGCCCCTGGAGATGGCACTCTGGGTCCACGAGGCCTGGGGATTGGATTCACCCGTGGGATTAAGGGCTCCCAATGGGAGGGCTCTATCTGAGCAGTACGGTTACTGTCAGTACAATATTACCCCCCACCCCTCTCCCCGACTGCTTCCTGCCTTGCCACATCCCCCCTCACCTCCTTATCCCTGGGTGTGCCTCTTGCCCACTGAGGGGCACCCAAGGCTGATTCATCAACTGTCCCAGGAAAGAGTGTGGGAGGTAGGGTGAGACACGGCCCTGGAGCCAGAGAGAACTGGGTTCAAGTCCCAGCCCTGCCACTTATCAGCAAGTGACTCACCCTCGGGTTTCAGTCTCTGCAGCTGGAAGACACAGGTGTCAATACCATGCCCCTGGGAGGTGAGGGGAGCAGGTGAGTAGGCACCCCAGGTGTTCAGTGTCGGCTGCTCCGTGCTGGCTCCACCCCCCCGCCCGCTCCCCCCCCCCCATGGTTGTCCCTTTGTGAGTCTGCCCCTAGAAGCAACAGGAAGCACAGTGACTGCGTCCTTCTGTCTGCCTCCTACCTCCAGGATACTTGAGAGACGGGCGTGGAGAACAGAAGCTGCCAGTGAGTCTCTCCTTCCTTCGTGCCTTTTACCCAATTCCAGGAATTGGAAATTGGCCCAGAATGAGAACTCACAGGGTGGGGGGTCCTATCTTACTCTGCGGACTCAGTCCTGGCTGCTCTGAGACCCCATCTGCCCATCCCACCTCTTGGTCCAAAGTCCCATGTCTTTACCAACCTGGGATTCATTCATTCATTAATCATTCATTCATTCATTCATTCATTCATTCATTCATAACAAATAAGTATTGATCACCTACTCTGTGACCACCAGGCCCTGCACCAGGTGCTTAGCTCACAGAGGGGAGCCACCACAGAAACGGTCCTGCTCCTGACCCAGCCCTGGACTTGCCCACCCAAGGCCATCCTATCAACAACTCCAACAGCTCTGGTTGTAGCCGCTACCCGCCACTCGGGGACATTAACCCTGTCTCCTCTCAAGGGTAAATGAAACCAGAGGAATCGAAACTGACCAGAGTAATCCCATCACCTTGAAGCACTAGGGTTTAGGGTGATCAGTCCTGCGGGGAAGGTCTGCCGGGTGGTGGCAGTAGGGCTCATTAAAAACAGACACAAAAGGGACAACATGTTCTCTGCTGGATGTTATCATGTCCAGGTTTGGGGTCTGGAGCACAGCTGCGGTTTGGAAGCTGGGATGAGCCGCCCAGGGGCCCAGCGCAGCACAGCGAGGGTGGCCAAGAGTAGGAGAGACACCTGGTGCTGATGACATCACCACGCCACTGAAAAGCCACCATACCCCTCACATGACACTTCTTGTCATGTGAGGTCATAAATGCCCTCATTGTTGAAGTCCATCAAGTCACAGGAAGCTTCCTGACCAGTGCAAATGGGACGGGGTGCCAGGGAACAGAGTGGGGAGAGTCTGGGGTGGAATCCTGGCTCTGCTTTTGCTGGTCGTGGGACCTTGGAAGTTGCTGTCCCCATTCTGAGCCTCAAGGTGTAAAATAGGGACAATAATGCCCCTTACCTACCAACACTGATCTTGTCACCATCACAGGGCCTGGCACACAGGAGCTCTAAAGGACAAGTGGGGGTCACCAGCTCTTGAATAAATGAACATGGTGCATCAGAATCTAACTGACATGGCTTGCACAGTCATGTGGAAGGGAGAGAGGAAATGGGTGGAAAGAAGGGGGACATTGATCAGCTATTTTCTTCTGATGTATCTTGATTTCAGCTGTGGTCATTACATAACATCAAGACCAAGAGTACTACAGGTAACATTTAAAGAGGCATTACCGGGGCGCCTGGCGGCTCAGTCGGTGAAGCAACGGACTCTTGGTTTCCGCTATCATGATCTCAGGGTCATGAGATCGAACCCCACGACGGGCTCCATGCTCAGCACAGAGTCTGCTTGGGACTCTCTCTCTCTCTCTCCCTCTGCCCCTCCCCCCTGCTCTCTTTCTAAAACAAATACATCTTTTTTAAAAAATAAAGAGGCATTACCATGTGCCGGGCACTGTGCTAACAGCTTCATACACCTAAATCTTGTTTAATCTGCTGACCTTGTCTTATTTTCTTCTAACTTTCATCTATACTTCGCATGCGAGGAAACCCAAGATTCCTTAGGTGAGGTCACATGGCTAGTCAGTGGTATGACTGGAATTTGAACCCAGTGCCATGGTTCTTAATTCCAATTACCCTGTCTCACATGAACCCCTGAGCTTCATGTAGAAGTAGGAAAGTTCTCTGTCAGCTGTTTCACTTACATATGTGACAGGCTGGAGGGGGTGAGTGGCTCCTGGTGCTCTAGCCCTGTTGCTGGAGACACAGCTAATCACATACAGATGACAGATCCTTATATGATGACGCCACCCACCCACCCACCCATCCATCCATCCATCCATCCATCCATCCGTCCATCTACCCACCCATCCATCCACCCACCCATCCATCCATCCATCCATCCATCCGTCCATCTACCCATCCATCCACCCATCCATCCACCCATCCATCCATCCATCTACCCACACATCCATCCATCCACCCATCCATCCATCCACCCACCCACCCATCCATCCATCCATCTATCCATCTTTCCATCCATCCACCCAACCATCCTTCCATCCATCCATCCATCCATCCATCCATCCATCCACCCACCCGTCCACCCATCCGTCCACCCACCCATCCACCCACCCATCCATCCATCCATCCACCCACCCATCCATCCATCCACCCACGCATCCATCCATCCATCCATCCATCCATCCATCCTTCCATCCATCCATCCATCCTTCCATCCATCCATCCATCCATCCAGCCAGCCAGCCATCCACCCACCCATCCATCCATCCTAAGTCAGTTTCCCCAGAAGCTGAGTCCAAGACAGGATTCTTGTGCAAGTGGGGTGATTTACTGAGGGCGTGCTCTCAGGAGAAACCTGTAAGGTAGCAAGGGAAACAGGCCAGACCAAGGTATGAAGCTAAGCAAAGAGGTGTTCTAGACATCTGCCTAAGCCTGATCCCACGTGGAGCTCTGGGGCATGCAACGTGCTGCCTGGGTGGTCCTGCATGGAGGCTGGAGCTGGGCAATTACATCCTTCTGGTATTACACTCTCTAGTCACTCGTTAGAGGTGGGCTTCCAGCAGACAAAGAGGAGAAGGAGACAGATGTGAGCATGTAGCAGCCAACCATCTGGCTTAGCTGGGGGTTGGGAGATGGGGCCAGGAGGGGATCTGGGTGGGGTACCAGCATCTGCCACAACCTCCATCCATCCATTATGGACTCATTTGTCCATAAACACTAATCGAGCACCTGTTAGTTCAGGGAGCAGAGGAAACAAAGATGAGAGACAAAGCCCCCATCCTCCAGGAGCTCCAGTCCAGTTGGAGGGGTTTGGAAAAGACCAGGTATTATATCCCACTCAAGATCAAACCTGGTAGATTACAGACCCATAAAGTGCTATGCGGGTTTGGAGGAGGGAGCAAGCCCTTGGAGCCGAGGAGGAGTCAGCCAGGGGAGGCTTCTGTTGCTAGTGGCCCTTGGACCGCAAGGGGCCTAGGTGGGGCTCGGCCACCTGGGGACAGCAAGCGGAGCACTCTGCAGAGGTCCCAGCCTGAAAAGCATCTAGAAGCAGGAGAGGACACACTGCATTTGCGTGTGGACCAGGGGCCTGGAGCTCTTGCTCCAGGCGGCTTCATCTGGTCCTTAGCTCAAGAGACATTCATGGGGTCCCTTCTTGGTCCCGGGTACTGCTTTGGATGCAGAGATGCAACTGAGTCCAAGACGGTCATGGGCCCTGCCTCAGAGGACTGCCCAGCCTAGTTTGGGAGAGTGACATAGTGCTGGACAGTGCAGGCCCCAAACTCCGTGAGAGGTCCTACCAAGGGTGGGGGCGGTGGGGGGCTTTGGGTTTTAAGAAGTAGAGCCACGTGGACAGAAAGATCAACACTGCCCTTCAAGAGAGGCCACCCTGGCTGCAGCTTGGACAGTGTGTCAGACAGGGTGAGACTTGGCCAGGGGGCCTGGCGACTGGCAGTGGCAAGGGGGACCCGCCCCACCACGGACCCCAAATCCCCACCCCCAACACCTGTGGCTTCGGCCCAAACACCATCCCTAGGGGCTTCCTGGCTTTGCCTTCTCCGCAGATCTCAAACCACGCTCAGAAGAGAGCGGTGACCTTGGTCAGGAAGATTTGGAAGGTCCAAGAGCAAGAAGGAGGGTGGGGCGTGGTTGAGACCCTCCCGAGCCAGTTCAGGGGGTCAGACGCTGGGGCAGGGGCGGAGCGCCAGAGCCGGAGATGCTGAGGAACAGGAGGGAGCATGGGGCGGTGGGGCAGGCCCCTGCTAGCACATAGGGGTCTGGCCTTTGCAGCGGGGCCTCCAGTAGTAACGCAGGTGCTTTTGGTAGGTGTCCAGGTTCTGTTTCAGGCAGAGGACCACCTTCTTGTCACAGGTGCACAGCTGCTGCTCACACCAGCTCCCCTTGTCGGCTGCGGATGGAGGAGAAGGGGGCTCAGTGTCCGTCCCCTGCCAACGCAGAGCCCAGGGCGGCCTTAGGGTCCCAGAGGGAGTTTCTGGAGGCAGCCCCGTCCTTGCTCAACTTTCGAATACCCTTCCCAGCTGCTTGGACTCTAGCTGCATGACCCTGGGCATGAATCGTCACCTCCCTGTTTGTCTCTGCTCCTTTATTTATTCATCCATTTAATAAACAACCGAGCACCCATCCTGTGTCAGGCCCTGGGGGGACAGGACTGACCCGAATGGATGCATGCGGTTCACACTCCCGTGGGGGCAGCAGATATTCGAGAACCACAGAAATGGGGATCACAACCTGTTCCTTGTGGAAGGAAGGGATGATGCAGGGGCTACAAGACGATAAAATAGGGGGACAGTGCTCAGCGTCAAGAGCCATTTGAGCTGAGGTGGGAAGGTTCTGCTCCCCCCTTTGGAAAGCTGGGGTGGCAGAGGGGGACTGTTCCGGGCAGATGGAACAGCATGTGCAGAGCCTGAGGCCGAAGGGACCTTGGTGCATCAGTTTCATTTTCTGTACTTGAGGTGAGGGTAGATGCTGCCTTGGGGCTGTCAAGACTACTGAAGAAGCAATGCGCTCAGCACACAGTAGGTGCTCAATAAATGTTGGCTATTACTGTTGCCTTATTACTATTTAAAGATTTTATTTATTTATTAGAGAGAGAGAGCGAGCATGAGTGGGAGGAGGGGCAGAGGGGGAGGGGGAAGCAGACTCCCTGCTGAGCAGGGAGCCCGATGCGGGGGCTCGATCCCGGATCTCGAGATCATGACCCGAGCCGCAGACAGACGCTTAACCGACTGAGCCACCGAGGTGCCCCTGTTGCTATTATTAAGCCTTTAATGAACAGGGACTGACGTGATAAACCCACTTGATTCCCAGCCCCGGGAGTTGCCCGCTGTCTCCAAGCATGGACCCAGGGCCAGAGGGGACCTGAGATCTAGCCCAGGCTCTGTCACCTGCAGCTGGGTGACCCTGGGCAAACATCTCTTCACTCTGGTCTCACTTTCCTTGTCTATAAAATGGAGATCGTCAGGGTGGTGCTGCTCCTGGCTAGGCCGCTCTGAGGACCGGAGCGGAAGTAAGCTGTAACAATGTTAGGTAGTCCAAGTGTTTATCGAGCATGCACTTGGCAGCAGGTAAGTGCGAGGCTCATTCTGTCTGCTCTCATTTTAGTTCTTGAATTAACTTTAGGGGGTAGAATACTGTTATCATCCTGAGTTTACAGATGAGAATCCTGATGTTCAGAGGGTGTTCAAGGTCACACAGCTGGTTGATGGTGGCTCTGGGATCCAAGCTGAGGTCTGCCAGCCTTCCAAATCCTAGAGGGGTCAAAAGCCCCATTGGACCTCTCCATACTCTCAGCCCCAAATTCCTCCACAGCCCCGCTACTGTCACCGGACACATGAGAAAAACACGGAGGTTGAGCGGCTTGTGCCTTGTCACATAGCGCATGAGGTCAGTAAGGGCCAGAACTCCCTTCCTTCACCTCTAACTCCAAACCCGAGGCCCGGGCACTCACAGCACTGGATGTCCCCATGGGAAAATGTGTAGTCATAATGGTCCATGTAGGCACGGCATCGGTGCTGCCTCAGGTGATCATAGCAGCAGTCATGGTTCCGACAGCACCTGGAGGGAGAGAACAGGAGGAGGGACGGGCAGGGAGCACAGCTGCCCAAGGGTGGAAACCGAGTGCCGGCCTTGGAGGAGTCAAGGCCGGCAGGGTTATGGTCCCGCTAGCTAACGCCTCTTGAGTGCTTTCTATGAACCAGGCATGTGTTTTGTCTGTGAATATTCTCTCAGTCTGCACTACCATCCTATGATGGGGGCACTAGGATAATCCCCATTTCACAGATGAAGAAACAGACTCAGGGAGGTCAAGCCACATCCCCAAGGTCACACAGCCTGTAAGTGGTGGGTGAGGGGAGTGCTCTCCCTCCTGGCGGATTCCCGGGGGGTGTGGTAAAGATTGAATGACACAGTGGCAAAAAGAGGTAGGAGTTAAAAAACAAACAAACAGCGTGAAATGGCAGCAGGGAGTGTGTGTGGGTGTTCTAACTAGATCAGGGGTTGGAAGTACAAAGGGGGGGGGCCTTCAGAGACTCTGCAGAACCAGCTAGAAGGCAAGCTCCAGGAGGGCCGGGACGGTACCGGGCCTCAGCAGAGTTCCCTAGCACACAGCACAAAATGAATTCACAGAGTGAATACATGCGGGAACAGGAAATGGGAGAGTCCTGGGGTGGGGGCAGGACAGGACTGCCACCCGTGGCCCTGCCTGCGAAAGGATTACCAGTCTGTGGCATCTTTGGGTTGGCCTTTGCCCCCAGGTCCACAGTGACAGCCGTAGGGCCAATAGGAGATGATGGGTATCTTCCCGGTCACTTGTTTGATCATCTTGTTCAGGTTTAAGATCCCGCCCTGGGTTGGAATCACACCTGCCAGAGAGTCCAGCAACACGGAGAGGACATGAATACCAGAGGTCACAGGCCTGGCACTTGTGCCTGGTTGGACCAAACCCATGACCTTGGATAATAAAATGACTACAACCACCAAGGCTATTAAAAATATAGCGATAGTAAGTGCTTATTACGGGCCATTTTTTTTTTTTAAGAGAGAGAGAGAGCACGAGCAGGGGGGAGGGGCAGAGGGAGAGGGAGAAGCAGGCTCCCCGCTGGGCAGGGAGCCCGACATGGGGCTTGATCCAGGACCCCGGGATCATGACCTGAGCCGAAGGCAGACACTTAACCGACTGAGCCACCCAGGCGCCCCTATGGGTCTTTTCATGTAGTAATTTATTGACTCCATTCAACCCACGAGATAAATACTCGTTTTTTTTCCCCCCAATAAATATACTTTTTATCTTGGTACATTCTAGATGTACAGAAAAGTTGCAAGGAGTTACAGAGAATTCTTATACACCCCTCACCTACTTTCCTCTGATGTTATGATCAGCTTACATAACTACCGTATACTTATGGGCACTAAGAAACTGACACTGGTACAAAAAGCACTATGTTTGATGCCCCCTTCATAGATGAGCAGCTTGAGCCTCGTACCGGGTCGCAGTGGCTGGTACTTGGAGGAGCTTGGATTGGAACCCGAAGCAGTTTGATGCCATTCCCTGCCTCTGCATTGAGTTCCCATTCTGTAACAGGAAGACTCACTCTTTTCCCTGCACCCCGCGCTGCCCCTCACCTCCCTGAGAGAGAGCACTGCGTGGCTCGCCTACCTGGGAGGCAATGTGATTCAGAAATCAATGGTTTTTATGGATATTTTTCATTGTAGTCATAATTGCTCCTGGTTAGAATTGGTCATAAGGGCATTTTATTTTATTGGGGGAGAGGAATGCTTAATGTTGAGATAGGAGAAATAAAATATATGAAGTCGATGAATTCAGGGGAGAGCCTGGGAGGAACAGACAAGATAAGGGGACAGAACTGTGCCAGTGTACAACCTCGGGAGGCGGTTCGAGGACACAGATGGAGCTGAGTCTCAGGGAGACGTGGCCAGGTGGGGCCCTTCGAGTGACCTCATTATGGACCTCCCCTCCCATTCCCAGGTAAATGGTGTTATAGTGAAAGCTCTGTGTGCAAATGAAGTAAATAGCAAAGTGGGAGTGCGCCCCAAATGGGGGGAGGGGTGGGTGGGAAGAGGGGGTTTGGGAGGGGCTCGAGCGATGGGCAGCAGCTAAAAGTGACGAGGGGTGTCTGGTACTTGCAGGTCTGTTCTGTCCCCAGTGTGTCCCTTCAATGTGCAGGAACCCACGTTGTCACTCCTGTTTGACACGGTGGCTCCAGCTGTACGGATGTTTACGAGAACCCTTGCTAAGCCTTGAGGGGACTAATGACCCATCCCAGGCCCACTGGAAGCCCGGATTCTGTGATGAGGAAGCCGGAGGCAAGCCACGGCAAAGAGAGTTACCACCCACCTGTGCGCCAACCAGGGACCTGAATTCAGACTCTTGCCTTTCTGGTCTACCTCATCCCTCTTTCTGCCCTAAAACTGGCCCTTTCCATGTCAGCTTCACAGTACACAAATAAACTCACACTTGAATGATGCAGTTTTCCTTTGCCAGGCAAGCAGTAAGTTTAGCTTTGATTCAGAATGCTTTGGGATGGTAGTCTTATTTCTTATAATTTTACAGTGAGACGAAACCAGCCCTGAGACACCAAGGAGCTCCATCTGTGGTCATGAGACCTTTGGTGAACTGGCTTAGCTTGTCAGTCATTCCTGTCCTGGTAGCTCTTTCCATCCTTCGCTGGCACTGAGGGGGATGGGCCCCCTTCCCCCAAGAGTTAGCGCGGCTACCAGCTCATCACGCATGTGTTGTGTGTTAAGCTATTGTTTGCTTGCTATTACTTACACTTGCTAAACACTTTGGATACATCTTCTTTTCTTTCTTTTTTTTGGATGCATTTTCTAATTAAAGTCCTAACAACCTTATGAAGAGGGTGCTACTGTGTCCATTTTACAGATGAGGACATAGAGAGGTAGGGTGACTTGGCCAAGGTCATCCTGACAGGAGACAGCATTTGAATGCAGGTTCACCTGTATATTTTATCTCTACAGTGTATTATTGCTTCTTTATGTCTGAGAGATGAGTTTTTGTAGCTTGACTGCAATTTCCCTAATGGTTTTCGCTGTAGCCCTGGATATGAGTTCCTCTAAAAAATTTGGTAGTCCCAGAATTACATAAAACCACATTTTAAAGTACAAATCCTTTCTAACACTACATACTCGGATGGACTGAGAAACAAAAACACCGATTTGCTAGCAACCACATTTTTACATTTGATCTGTGGAAGACTGAATGGAAACTGCCCCATCTCCCGCCCCTGTCAACAGGACCCTCTTCCCAGGTTCAAGGGAGACAATGAACATGAACAAAGGGGTTCTAAAAGTACACAGTGCTGTGTGTAAATGAAAGATTGTTATTATTTGGTCAAGGTGACAGAGTGGAGCAGGGTGAGGTGGGGAGATCCCTTTCTGTAACTTGCGTCCAAAGTACCGTAGGCATCTGCTCAGCCAGCCCCAGTGTCTGAGCCTCTAGGTGCTCATCCTCACTGCAGACCAGAGTCATGCTGCACAGCAGGGCAGCCCAGAGCTCCGTGGCTGAAGCCAGGGTTTTAGGGGCCAGCCACTGCTGCTGGCTCCTTGCAGGGGCAGAAGGGTTGAGGACTGGGGTCCAGAGCTGTTGGGGATCAGAGCAGAGGCTCAGTCTGGGAAGGACATACAGTGTCTACTCACATCCTGCCTTCCCTTCCCAGCTATGGGTCCTGTCCCACTCACCAGCAAACACCAGCAGTGTGCACAGCAGGGGAAGCTCCATGGTCCCAGCCCAGAGCAGTGGAAGCAGCTGCTGGAAATCCCCTTCCATGCAGGCGGCCTCTTATATCAGAGTAGCCCCACCAGGCCGAGCCCACCCCTGTCCATCCCAGCTCCGGCACCGGGGCACGCTCTTTCTATTTCCTGTTTCTAGCAACAGGGGAATTTTACTGTTTGTATTTTTAATACCTATTTTTTTTACTTTTTGATTGCGAAAGGAACACATTCAGTGGAGGAGATTTGAAAAATCACAGACAATAAAACAATTTAAAATTGCTTGTGAATCCAGTACACACCATTCATTTTTTTGATTGAAATATATTTGACATATAACATTGTGTAAATTTCAGGTGTACAACATGTTGAGTGGATACATGTATATATTATACCATGACTGCCAGTATAGCAATAATTAGTACCTCTGTCATGTCAAATAATTATAATTTCTTTTTAGTGGTTGGAATAAAGATCTAATCTCTTAGCAAGTTTGATGATTACAATGCAATATTGTTGTCTGTATTCACTACACTGTGTATTAGATCTCTAGGACTTATTCACTACTTGTTGCAAGCTTTTGCCTTTAACAATATCTGCCCTATTTTCGCTCCTCCCTGTCTCCTGGTAACCACCATTTTACTCTCTGTTTTTATGAGTTTGGCTTTTTTTTTTTTTTTTTTTAATAGGCTCCATGCCTCACGTGGGCTTGAACTCCCAGCCCTGAGATTGAGAGTTGCATGCTTTACCGACTGAGCCAGTCAGGCGCCCCAAGCTTTTGGTTTTTTAGACTCCACAGATAAGTGAGATCAAAGAGTATTTGTCTTTCTCTGACTTATCTCACTTAGCATAATGTCCTCAAGGTCCATCCATGTTGTCACAAATGGCGGGATGGCCTTCTTTTCATGGCTAAATAATATTCCATCTTGATATCTCTACCACATCTTCTTTATCCAACCATTGAGAGGCGCTTGAGTTTTTTCCACCATTAACCTTTTGGTGTATGTTCTTCTGGTTCTATTGCTGTATGGACCTTTCCACACTTTTCCCTGACCAAATTAGAAAAGTGTTACAAGTAGTACTTTGTAGTCTGTCTTTTCACTTACCCTTATAACTTGAACATACTTCTGTGTCATTAAGGATTCTTCTGTGGTAACAGTTTGCAAGGCACCCCCATATTCCTTTACCCATCTATGCTATTCATCTAATGAATCCCCTATTGACAGAGACATATGGGTTGTTTCCAAACTTTTTTTTTTTTTTTACTATTCTAGTCCATACAATGGTACAGTGAGAGAAATCCTTGAGGCTAAATCTCAGAAAGTGTGTCCAGAATTATTTCATAGGATCTATTCCTAACGTGAACTTGAACGTCACAGCACACAGGCACGATTTGAAGGCAATTGATGTGTGTTGACATCTTACTCTGCAGGTCTGCCTCAGTTTGCATAGGAGAATCCTAACGGGGCAGATGGTGTGGACTCACTCAGAGGGTGGAGGTGCTCGTGGCAGGACACACAGGCATTCTAGAGATGCGCTCCCACAGACGCTCCACTGGTAACCTTTCAGGGTTTCATGGAGGGTCCATTTAGTAGTAGAGATTGGTTTTCTCCCACACTCGTTGGATGGCTCTCAAGGACATAGCCCACAGACTGACCTCCTTGCTGCCTGCTCACCCAAAAAGTATGCCAGCAAGAGTCCCTGCTGAGAGTTCTTTCTCTCCAATCTAATTTTTCCTTTGTTCCTTGACTCAGTCACCAACTGACCACCTCATCTGTGAGAAAATAACCCGCATGCAAAATAAGTAAGCAGCGAGCACAGTGTATGGCCCTGGCATAGTCTCTGACATGCGTCCCTCGTGTGTACTCTGTGGTCATTCCCTTACACTCCTCTCAGTGAGGGACTTCAGCATACCATCTCCCAGATCTGGGCTCCTGATGGGGCACGTGGGTACCTCCCAGAGTCCCAGCTGCTCCTGATCTGGTTATCATTTGGGTAGGAGCAAAAGTAGCCAGGACCACAAGTCCTTTGTTGATTCCAGAAGGCTTTTCCCTAATGGCGAATTCATGCTACAGAGAGGCCTCAGAACTGGCTGTCCCTGACACCTCCTGAGACCCCAGGGCACATCTGAAAGGCTAGGTTTGGGGCGAGAGAGACCTGCTTCAAATTCTGGCTCCCTCTCTTACCAACGGTGGGACTCTGAGCCAATCGCTCCTCCTCCATGATCCTTGGCTTCCTCATTTACTGGTGGGGACAATATGGGGACAATAGTCCCTCCCTCCTCTGACTGCTGTGTGGTTTAGAGGTCCCATGCATGCAGCACACTGTACCAAGTCCCACCCATGGAAAGAAAGTCGCCACAGTGACCACAGCTTGGCCTGCGTAGCATTCCGTGGAGGTGAAGAGGGTGGGAGGAGATGTTCAAACCCAGACCACCTGGGTTAAGGCTAACCTCCCTGGTGCTCCACCTGCCTCACCTGGAGCTTTGTCATGTGTAAACTGGGGACAATGACTGTACCTACTTCAAAGGCCTGTCACAGGAATTAAACAGCATGGTAGGTGAACAGGGCTTGGTCCATAGCTAGAGATCAACAGACGTTAGCTATGGATGGTTCCCATCATTATTGTCATCTTTAACGTCACCCTCACTGCTTACGATGAACAGAAAACAACTAGCCTTTTCTTCTTTGTGTTGTCAAATCTGCCTTAGACCTGTCCACTGTTCCTTTCCTCTGAAGTATATTTGTTTTACTCTAGAAATTTGATCTGGGTTTAAGAAAAAAATCTGATTCTACTTACCCCGCTCAATCTTTCCTCTATCTTAAGCATAAGGAATATATTTATCATAAGTGTTCTAATAGCTTTATCTACTAATTCTATCATTTGGGTCATTTCTGGGTCTGTTTTTCTTGATTTTTTTTTTCCTTATTATGACTTTCAGGTCACCCCCACTCATTATTATAGTTAACGCTGGGATGATAAAGCTTTGTCTACGTTTAAAGGGTAGTTGCTTTAAAATAGATTTTCAGAAGTGAAATTGCTGTGTTGGAACAGAGAAAATTTTTAAGCCTCTTCCATTCTCTGAAGTCTGTAGGAATTTAGAAAGTCCCTTGCTTTTGCCTCCATCAACACACATGAGTTTCCACTGGGCCTGGTGGTTCCTCGGGACTTGTCATTGTCAGCAAGTCTGTGTGCTTTTACTTCTCTGGAAATCGTAGGAAAAACACTTGATGGTATCATTAGGCTGCAACCCGTCAAGATCTCCAGGTGGTGGGTGGAAAAGAGCAAAAGGGGCTTAGATGCTGGCATGCAAATTCCATTAGGAATATTTACCATCAGCTGAGCTTCTACTGTGTGTCAGGCACCGGGCTGTTGTCTTACTTAATTTTCACAACTGCACCATGAGGAAGATACCGATACCCCCATTTTACAGGTGAGGAAAGTGGGGCTCAGAGAGGTTAGAAAGTTGCCTAGGGTCACACAGCAGGTACACGGCAGAATCTGGGTTTGAACACAGATCTGCCAGAGCCACCCTTACTATGAGCTGGGCACCGCTCTACGTGGTTCACACATCGTAACATAAGGTAGGTACTGCCCTAATCCCCATGTTACAGATGAGCCATCGCACGCAGGGTCTCCGCCATACTTTCTTGCCCTCCCCACACTGATGGAGGTGGAAGTGAGGAGAGCTGGCAGAATCTGGAAAACTGCTGCCCCAACCTCACTGCAGAAGAGAAAGTGGACCCCCATCTCCTAAGAGGTACCCCCACAGGGGAGAGCATGTCCTTTTAGCCAGTGATAGGTTCCTGCCCTCAACCCATCCCTCCCTGCAAAGCTCCACTCACTGCAACGGTCCCATGGCCTGGGTTCCATCCACGGGAACCTGTGTCAGAGAGGAAGCTGGGAGTTACCAAAGGTTTGCAGGAGAGGGTGCTTCCCCGAAGGCTCTGAGCTTCGTCTCTGATCCCCTGCACTGGCTGGATGTTGGGTACCTTGGTGTGCTCCCATTGTGAAACTTTCTTCAACAGCTTTGCTATCAAGACTGATGTGGCTTCGAATTCCAGCTTAACAACGGCATTACCTTGATTCCACTACTTCATCTCTCTGAGCCTCAGGTTTTCCATCTGAGAAATGGGGCCAGCAACGCACCCCCTGCCAGCTTGCTGTCATGAGTTCAGGTGGAATGATGGGGACTATAGGCACACAGGTGGTGATCAGTGAATGTATGGCACCTGCTGACTCCTCCTCCCAGAAGGAAAGAATCTAAAACTCTGACCAAAGCAAGGGGCTGGACAAAGTGACTTCCCCACGTGCCTCACACCCAGAGTCTCTTGTTTCTAAATGACACAGAGTTGGTCACACACAGCGGGGGGATTTCCACTTTGACCTCTCAGTTCATTCAGAGTGAGCTAAACTCAGACTAGTGGCCATGGAATGTACTTTCAGAGTCAGAAATCTCCACAGCCAGCAGCTTTGCGGTGGTCATTGCCAGAAGGTTCTTCCGTTCCCGGCCCTGGCCTGGCCCCTGCTGCCTTCCTCAAGCACACCTCAACCTGGGAGGCGGCAGAGCCTGGGCATTCAGAAGGAAGTGGGGCCAGACCGGCCTGGCTTGGATTCGCACTGCTCATCTGTTTCCTCATCTGTTAAATGGGGTGGAGGGAAATGAGAACGCCCCCCACCGGGGTTTTGGTAAGGATCCCAAGGGGCATATAGGGTGCTTGGCTTGTACACTGTAAGCACTCCATAAACGGCAGTTGGTGTTGTTATTAATATTAGCGTATGGGGGGCAAAGACCACACTTGCAAGAAATCCCACAGGAAGCCAGCAAATGACTCCATTCAACAGGCATTTCCTGAGCACCTACTATTCGCTGTCAGCAGGCCCAGCACAGTGCTTCGGGTGCAGAGAGGAAAGGGTAAGGCAGATCCCCACTAGGAACTAATGATATCCTCAGAGCAACCAGACACTTTGGAGCTGGTTGGAACCTGGGCTGTGCCGACCCCTGGCGCTCCATCTCTGGGTGGGGGGTGGGGGCCTCACACCAATTTGCATGAGATGATTTGCATGGAGGTGGGTTGATCTGCCTGAGGAGTCAGAATGGGGGGATGGCTGTGGACACCAAGATATTCATTTGGCGGATTTGGCTGGAGCCCAGTGGAGAGGGCCGTATAGAAGCTTCGGGCATAGGCTACGGTCACCGGGTGGGGCCCAGGGGACAGACATGGCACAGTGTGGGGCTAGAGGCATGCCCCCTCCTCTGCAGAGCACAGTGTGGCTCTGAGGCTGGAAGGTGGGGTGGCCCCACCGGGCGTCTGAGAGCCTGCCGCTTTGGGGTGCTGAGGCCTCCATGAACAGCTGTGGAGGTCACACGGGGGAGCAGAGGAGAAGACTAGGAGAACCCTGGGGCTCCCGAGGCTCCCACAGAGACTCCTAGAAATAACAGCAAGACTTTATTTGGGAAGTAGGGGCTCAAGGGGGTTCTGACTCGCATGGGTGGGATAATAAACCAGAAGCATTTCTTACTGTTGATATGACCCCCCAGGAGCCCCCAACCCCTGTGAGACCTGGTGAAAGGGTTAGCCTAGAGGGATACACCATGAACTCCGTGGGAAAGAACGATGCTCTGCCTTGCACAAAGCCTTTGCTTACTCCCTCCTCAAAGCACAATTTAGAAGCTGGTATTATTTGCCCCACTTCCAGAAGGGTTAGTGGGACTTTAAAGGGTCAAACCACTCAAACAGAGGGCTGACCAGACCCAGTGTCACTCCCAAGTATGGTTTTCCCAGTGGGCTGTAGCTGTGGGCTTGTGGACAATGGCTGAATGGTGCCGGCCCTCAATTTCTATGTTGAAGTCCTAGTCTCCGGTACCTCAGAATGTGGCCATATTTGGAGAAAGTCTTTAAAGATATAATTAAGTTAAAATCAAGTCATTAGGGTAGGTCCTAATTCAATATGACTCCTTGTAAGAAGGGGAGCTTGGGACAGGCACAGGTAGGGAGGAACGACCATGTGAGGACCCAGGGAGAAGATGACTGTCCACAAACCACGGACAGAGGCCTCAGAAGGAACCAACCCAGCTGACACCTTGACCTGCAACTTGCAGCCACCAGAAGTGTAAGAGAGTGAATGTCGGTTGTTGAAGCCACCCAGCCTGCGGTACTTGGTGATGGCAGCTAGAGCAGACTAACGCAGGTGTTAAGGGAGCCCAGAGAGAAGAAGAGATGCCCTGGCAGGCTCCCTGGAGGAGGTGAGCAGCTGTTAGTCATAATCCCCTTTCTTCCGCTTGCACCCCCACACCTCCCCCCAGCGTACACACACACACCAGGCCTGCAGCTCAGGGGTTTGATCTGTGGGACTGGCCTGATCCTCCAGACGCTGCCTATAGACGGGCCTTCCCCGACTCATAAGGCCGAGACACATGGCCCTCCAGTTTACTGCCTCAGGCGTCTGCCTCCATAAAATGGGAACGATGTCCTTTGATGCCTCATTCCTGCACAGTCAACTGCCTAATGATGAGGGATGATTTGGCAAAGCAATCACTATAGATATGGATATACAGAGCATTTTTGTTATAAATGTAGAAGCCGTGGGTGGCTCAGTCGTTAAGCGTCCGCCTTCGGCTCAGGTCATGATCGCGGGGTCCTGGGATCGAGCCCCGCATCGGGCTCCCCGCTCGGCGGGAAGCCTGCTTCTCCCTCTCCCGCTCCCCCTGCTTGTGTTCCCTCTCTCGCCGTGTCTCTCTCTGTCAAATAAATAAATAAAATCTTTAAAAAAAATAAACGTAGAAGCCGTCTGTTTTTCTTCGAAGCGTTGTTTCTTTTAAAATCAACCTTACTGAGGTATGATTTACAAAGAATGAAATTTACCAATAAAATGTGTCAAGTTCAGTGAATTTTGACAGATGTGCACACCTGTAGAGCCACACCCCAGCCGCCACAGGAAACGCTTCCATTCCCCAAAAGAGTTCCCTCGGGCCCCCCTCCAGGTTGTGTTGTCCCATGGAACGGGTTCCCCTCCTTTCAGCTGGGGAGCTGGTATTCCATTGTATGAATGTATCACAGTCTGTCCTTTTTCCAAGTGGTGAACATTTGGATCATTTATAATTTGTAGCTATTGTGAATGTTTGTGTATATGTCTTCGTATGAACACATACTTCCTTTACTCTTGGGTAAAAAGCAAGGGGTGAAATGACGAGGTCGTATGGTAGGTGTATGTTTAATTTGATAAGAAATTGCCCAGCTATTTTCCAGAAATTTATTTTCTCATAGTTCTTGAGTCTGAAAGTCCAAGATTAAGGCCCTGGCAAGGTTGGTTTCTTTCTGAGGGCCCCTCTCTGACTTACAGATGGCCATCTGCTTTCTGTATCCTCACATGGTCTTTCCTCTGTACAGGTACATCCCTCTTGTCTCTTTGTGCGCCCAAATATCCTCTTCTTATAAAGTTACCAGTCTAGGGGTGCCTAGGTGGCTCAGTCAGTTAAGTGTCTGACTCTTGATTTCGGCTCAGGTCATGATTTCAGGGCTGTGAGATCCAGCCCTGATTTGGGCTCTGGGCTCAGCAGGGAGTCTGCTTGAGATTCTCTCCCTCACCCTCTGCCCCTCCCCCATTCTCTCTCTCAAATAAATAAATAAATCTTTTAAAAAATAAAGATACCAGTCCAATTGGATTAGGGACCACCTTATGACTTTATTTTAACTTAATCACCCCTTTAAAACCATATATCCAAATACAGTCACATTCTGAGATATTGGGGGTTAGCATCAACATATGAATGGGGGGAGGCAAAATTCAGCTCATAACACCAATTATAAACAAATTCTCCCAGGAAATTTAAGTGGAGGAAATGCTTCCACTTAACTCCTTCTGGTAACCACAATTATTCTGACACCAAAACCAGATAACGACATTACAAGAAGAGAAAAACCACAGATTAATATCTCTCATAAACACAGATGCAAAAATTCTTTGGGGCTTGGAACCCCACGTTGGGGCTTGAACTCACGACCCTGAGATCAAAACCTGAGCTGAGATCAAGAGTTGAACTTTTAACCAACTGAGCCACCCAGGGGCTCCTAGATGCAAAAATTTGTAACAAAATATAAGCAAAGAGTCTAACAATATAAAAAAGGAAAATAGACCATGAGCAAATGGGGTTTAGCCCAGAAATGAAAGGTTGGTTTTACATTAAAAATCAATCAATGTAATTAACCATAATAGCAGACTAAGGAAGAAAAACTATATGATCTTTTTAATAAACACAAAGAAACAGCCCATTTGACAAAATCTGACCGTCCTGATTTAAAAAAAAAAATGTCAGCAAACTGAAATAGAAGGGAAATTCATTAGCTTGAAAGAGAGCATTACAACTCAACCAGAAATGTCTGTGCCCCCAAGGGTACCTCTAGAAATGTTTGGAGACAATTTTGGTTGTTACAACTTGGCAAGTTTCAGGGAGAGGAGCATGGGGCGGGGGGCGGGGGCCCCTCCTGGGTCTCATGCTGGAGGTCAGGGATGCTGCTCAGCACTCTGGATGCCCAGGACGACCCCCACCACAGAGAGGTGTCGGGCTCACGTGCCACAGTGGTACTGTGGCAGAGAAGACTGCTCCCGGAGGAGCAGATGGGCTTGCTCTTGCAGACGCCAGCTGGGGGCTTCCTCCAGTCTCTGTCCTCCACTGCAAAACACCACTGTAGTGGCCCCACCTCTCTCCAGTGCCCCGTGTCAAGCCCGCTGCACTGTGCTTTAACAAATGGAACTGAATGATTTTTTCTTTCACATCTGTTTCAGGTGGGAACAGGGAGACCTCTGGGTGAATTTCCCTCCAGATGTGCAGGGAGGGGCCAGCTCCTGGGCAGATGTGCAAACCTCCACCTGCGGGCCCAGTGCCCTGGGGTGGGGACCGTACCAGGCAGCTGTGGGCAGGGCAGTGGCTGTGGGAGGGAGGAGGTGGAGTCTCCTTTTTCTAGGGCAGTGTCACCTGCCTCCCGCCCAGGGGCATTGCCCCTGCATTACCCTGCCAGTGCGTGTGGCCGTGGGAAGCTGGGGCCTGTTCCCTGGAGCCTTCAGAGTGATCGTGGACCTTACAAGCCCTATGTTGCTGGACCCCCAGAACGCAGAACATGGCAGATGGGGCGCAAGCCAACCCCAAAGTGTTCAGGAAGAAGGTGCTGGTTAGGCACCCCTCTGGGTGGATGGGCCCAAGTCTCAGGGCCTCTTCTCCCTGGAGAACCTCCAGGTACGTGCCTGCTACCCGGGGATGGAATCCTCCATGGAGAGCAGCAGGGATGGGGTTGGGGAACTGGCTCTTAGAGCCCATTTCTCCAGAGAGAAGAGCTCTAAGTCTCTGAGTGATGGTGAGATATGTCACTGCATTTTCAGCACCATGAGGGCCTTAAGGATCCTCTAGTCAATCCTCAGGCCCAGAGAGGCTAAAGGATCTACCCGAGATCACACAGCATTTTGGAAGAAGAGCTGGGACTAGAATCTAAGGACCCAGGTTTCTTGGCTCCAAGTGCAAGACCCAGCCAGCAGGTTGGGTCATGTGACTTCCTGGAGTGTGTATGGAAAGGGGGTTGGTTCTGATCTGTGACAGTGGCCCGACCCCATGAGACAGTGAGCTTCCTGTCTTGGAAGCTTGGGCAGGAAGGGCATTCCTGCTCAGGGTAAGAAGGAAGGAGGCTCTGCCAGCCTGGGGACTATTCTTTCAGCAGGTGCAGGGCCGGTGGGAGGTTCTCCTCACAGAGCCCGGGGAAGCAGGAACAGAGGCCTGAAGGGGCAGCATTGATGGGGTGATGAGGCCCGGGAGGGAGCTGCAGGCCCAGAGCTGCAGGAGAGCGGAAGGAATGGACTCAGGACTTGGATTTTCTCCTCTCTCAGATCTAGCTTGGGTATGAAGTTCTTCACCATGGTCATCCTGGCCGGCAGCGGTGAGTAAAGGCTCTGGGGGGACTCCTCTGTCTCTCCCGCTCCCACACTTTCTCCTGTGACCTTGGGCACCTAGGTTCTCGAGCCACTGGCTGGGGGACTGTGCTGCCTCTCTGGGGCGCAACTTCCTCGCTCAGGCCCTGGCGGCCTTCATTGCCTTGGGACTGTTTGCTCGCCGGGCCAGCCGTAAACACTCCAGGGGCCCTCAGCTTGGCATTTATGAGCCTCCAAGGTGACAGGGCCCGGAGCTGAGGAAGCATCGTAAAATAGTAGTGTTTGCTTAGGGCGTCTGGCCGCCCTGGGAAAACCTGGGTGTTTGTGTAGATAGGAGTGTGTGTTTGTGTACATGTGTACATTAGATAAGAGCTAATGGGTTTGTGTGTGGCTATATGCACGTATATCTCTGTGTGTGGAGGGGTGTCTCAGCACACGTCAGCAAAACGTGTAGGTGTATGTTAATTGGGGCACCTGGATGTGCGTGAGGTGTGTGTGTAGCAGGTGTCTGGGAGCTCATAAGCCATCGGCGGGGGAGGGCTCCGGGGGCTCCTTTCCTGGGACCGGTGCTCCCGGGCACAGCGCTGGGGACAGCTGAGGCTCCTGAGGCAAATCTGACCCCGCACACAGCCAGGTGTCTCGGGGAGGTGGGAGGTGACCCGAACCCCTCACTGACTTCTCATCCAGCCTGTTACATATCGCCCGACGCAGCCTGGTTTGCGGGAAAGAAAGAGATCCCAGAAACAAAATAAGGTTAACCCTGTGGCCAGATGTGAATAAGAGGGGGTTGAATTGGCTGCTAAGGTTGTTTAGAAACCACCCATTTGCCTTCCGCCCCAACATTGGCCGGGGACAGCTCCAGCCTGACCGAGCGCAGACTCCCTTTCTTCTGCTGGGAGCGCGAGTGTGGATCGTGTGTGCTGCACGTGTGAGTGTGTACCGGCGCGCGGCTGAGTGTGTGAGGTGTATGTGTGAGTGTGGGTGTGCTTGTGGGTGTGAGGCGTGTGGGTGGGTGAGGTGTTCGCGGATGAGTGTGTGCACGACTGTGTATATGATAGTGTGCGTCTGTGTGGGAGGTGCCTGTGAGTGTATCACGGGTGTGTGCCTGTGAACACATGCGGTGTGTAGAGGAAAGTGTGAGTGTGTATCTTGCTTGAGTGTGTGAGGTGGGTGAATGTGTGTGCGCGAAGTGTGGTTCTACGTACGGTATGTATGGGTGTGTGACTTGTGTGTGTGTGAGCTTGCTGAGCAGGACCACATGACTGTGTGTATGAGGTATGTGTGGGTGAATGTGTGTTTGTGGGTGAGTGTGCACCAGAGTGTGTGCGCGGAGGGGAGTCTGAGGTGTGGGTGCCCGTGTGAGTGTGACGGGGTGTGTCTCCCTGTGTGTGAGGTGTGGAGTGCTCGTGTGATAATGTCCACCTTGTATGGAGCTGCTGGTCAGGGTGCCCTGGGGATGGAAGTTTCTCCCCTCCCCTCCAGGGTAACACCTGCACAGCCAGATGGTGGGCGGTGGGAGGCCGGAGCTTCAGGCCAGGGAGCCAGGAGGCCAGGACCCACAGAGGGTGCTCCCTCCTCACAGCCCGGGCACCTGGTGCCCTGCAGGAGAGCCGCTTTATCCCTAGATTTGGCAGTTGATGTCAAAGCGCTTGTGCAACCTGCTCACGGTGCCACAGTGCTCCCGGAGAAACCTGTTTGCAAACCCGGGAATGTCTGGGTTTGACTCCCAAGGTCCAATTCCAGATCGGGCCCCCAAGCTGCTTGGCATGCACATCCTCCTCCAGCAGTGGGACGCCAACACAGCAGGAGGAAGGGCTGGGGGAGAGAGCTAGCGTCCCCTTTCTCCCTCCCCCCCCCCACCCACAACCCTCACATCCCTCCTGCAGCTCAGGGATGGGCTCAGGCCCACGGGATGTGGGGTCCTGCCTCTCCCTGCCCCAGACCCTGCTGAGACATGTACCTCACTTGGCACCAACCTCTTAAAGTCACTTGTCCCAGCTCCTCGCCCGTTTCCTTTCTTGTTTGCTCCTTATTTTCTGTAATAACAAAAATCACCAAGCCAATAGACAGGAAGACTCAGGTAGAGCAGGATTCCCCAAACCCATTAAATGGGGCTGCAGTAGCTCTCCTGCCTTGTGCGGGGTGGCCTCACCAAGTAAGGACTTAAGCACCAGGCTCTGGGTTGACTCAGCAGAGAGCGAGGAGGAGATGCTGAGTCAGCACAGGCCCCGGGGGGCCCAGGAGGCGGGGAGCAGGGGAGAGGAGAATCTGTCGCTGGGGTGGGCTGGCCTGGCAGGTGCTGCCACTGAGTTTGCTGGTGTGGGAAGGGATCATGGCGCTATTGCTTCTGGTGAGACACGGACAAAGGGAAAAGGTGTGTGTGTGTGTGTGTGTGTGTGTGTGTGTGTGTGTGTGTATCCGTCTGTCTTTGGGGAACGACCAGAGCACCGAATTGTCTCTGGATTCATTGTAATTTGCACCAGCCCCAGGACTGTGGTAGGGACCCTGAGTCCCTCCTGGGGGCAGAGGAGCCAGACAAAGCCCAGGGCCCAGAATCAAATGTTCAGAAGAGCATGTGGCATTTGTGAAGTCCCTTACAGTGGACCGGACACTTGGGATCTCACTGCCTGGGTCCAAATTCTATCCCTACCACTTTTTGATAATGTTCTCGGGCAAGTTACTCAGTGCTCTGGGCCTCAGTCTCCTCATCTATAAAGTGGGGATAATAACAGCACTCAGCGAGCTAATGCATGGGAGGGGCTTAGGACAGTGCCTGGCACAGAGCCCTCAACAAGTAGTAACAATAATTACTTTCTAAGTGCCCTAGTGCCTCACGGGTGTTTTATTTTTTTTTTTTTAAGATTTCATTTATTTATTTGAGAGAGAGACGGAGAGAATGAGCAGAGCGGGGCGAGGGGCAGAGGGAAAGGGAGAAGCAGACTCCCTGCTGAGCAGGGAGCCCAATGCGACGTGGGGCTCTACCCCAGGACTCTGGGATTGGGACCTGAGCAGAAGGCAGACGCTTAATGGACGGAGCCCACCCAGGCGCCCCTTCTCACAGCTTTTTATACATTGCTTCCATCCTCCCCCTCTGCTCACCCTCCCTCCCTCCCTCCCCCTTTCCCTGGCCCCGGGGTATGGGGAGGACAGTCGAAGGGCCATCCACCAGGCAGGACGCTCACAGCACCCCTTGGTTCTCTTGCAGTCCTGCCCGAGGCCCGCAGCAGCCTGCTTAACCTGAAGTCCATGGTGGAAGGCATCACGGGGAGGAACGCCATCCTCTCCTTCGTGGGCTACGGCTGCTACTGTGGGCTGGGAGGGCACGGGCTGCCCATGGACGAGGTGGACTGGTAGGTCCCCGAGCGCCTGCGCTACTGTCGTGTTGGGACTGGGAAAGGGGGGCAGTGAGGGTCAGACTGGTCTCCGTCTCTGATGGGTGGGACAAGACCCTTTCCCCAAAGGATGAGGCTGGTTCAGTGAGTTAGTGACCTTGACCCCTATCCTCCTCAACCGTCTGGGATGCTTTCTACAGTTGGGCTTGGAGGCATTTGGGAACTCGCATTCTCGCCAGGAAGGAAACATTGACCTGCCCCCAAAACACATGAGAGCAACGGACACGCAGCTCACGCTGAGCAAAAGCAAGGGCTGTTGACCCCCCTCACCCCCATCACCCTGGAGGCTCTGATGGAGGGCTGAGCTTACTTTCTGCTCCTATCTCCCCGGAAGCAGCCAGCGCCAAGTCTGGTATCATGGGGGCTGGGGAGGGGGGAGGCTTGATAAATCCATGTTGACTAATTGCTTTCCTCCACCTGAGGGGATGGGGGTGGCCACACTACATTTGCTTCCTGTCCTTCCCCCCCCCCCCCCGATCCCACTCGCCCCTGCGGACCTTTGTCTCTCCCTGGCCATCCCACATAGCCAGGCATGGCCTCTTCATATAGTCAGGCAGGCTCCTTTCACAGTGACTGAGCCCTGACTCTCCTTCCCATCCTGACCACATCGCCGGACAGCCTGACGCTTCCTGCCTCCTGCAGCTGCATCAGGGCTCTCAGGGGGAAAGCCAGGAGCCCTGCGCATAGAACAGGGAGGCAGGATCATGGGCAAGAAACTGGGCCACTGGCTGGGCTCTGCCTGGCTGTGGACCTCAGGAAGGTAACTGTCCCTCTCTGGGCCTCAGTCTGAAGGTCTGATCTGTAAAGAACTGGTACAGATGGTTGGGGTCTCTGCCAGTGGGAGACCAGCCAAGCCTACCTACATGGGCCTGCTATCCTCTACCTGCCCCTAGGTGCTGCCACGCCCATGACTGCTGCTACCAGAAGCTCTTTGACCTGGGCTGTCACCCCTATGTGGACCACTATGAACACACCATAGAGAATAATACTTCGGTCATCTGTAGTGAGTTCCCCCCTGCCATTTCCCACTCCCCCACCTAGGAGAAGGGCTTAGATTGCCAGTCCCCCTGCCTGCCCTGTCCTGGGGCTGTGCACACGGTTGCCAGGTGACATACAGGATGCCCAGCTAAATTTGAGTTTCAGATAAACAACGAAAAATATTTTCACCTAAGTATACCCTAAATATTGCATGGGACAGCCTCATACTAAAAATTAAATGTTAGCGTAAAATCAGTTACTAGTAGTATAAAATTAAGAGTTAGTGTAAGTATATCCCATGTAATATCTGGGACATACTTAGACTAAAATATTTACTGTTTGTCTGAAATTCAAATTAGCCAGGCTTCTTGTTTTTGTTTGTTAAATCTGAGAACCCTAGCTGTGGTCTTCATCCTGGTATGCTCTGACCCTCCAAGCCTGAATTAGCAGCCTGATTCCCTGGTCCTTGATTCTTAGGCTTCACAGGGTTTAGGGAGGGTTCTGATTCAGTGGGTCTGGGTGAGGGCCCAGGAATCTGTTTTTAACGAGATCCTCTGGTGATGTTGAGACTTTGTGACATGCCGAACTGGGTTCAAACCTGGATTCACAGCATCTCCTGCTGTGTAACCTTAAGCAGGGTGCTTCCCTACCTGCCCTCAGTCTCTCCATGGGCCCATGGAAGGGTTTAGATCAGAGCAGACCTGTTCCCTTCCGGTTCTGTCTTTGGGACCGGGCCAGAAGGTGGCCCCATCCCAGGACTCTCACTGTTCCCAAGATTCAAGCTATGGGAACCAGGCCCTGTGGGGTTCCCTCCCTTGCCCTGAACTCTCCAGGCCATTCCTCAACTGAGGGATGTGGCATCCAAGTTAATGGCCCAAGTGTCCCTGCCTTGCCTCCCCTTGGGTAGCGGGTGCCTCCTGGCCCGGTCCCATGGGCAGCCCCGGGTTCCCTTTGTCTCCTTGCCTTAACCAGGTTCTTGCTCACTATCCCTCACTAAAAGCTCACAAGCAAGCCCAGCTTTGCAAAGAAACCCTAAGTCTCCTCTTCTCTGGGGAAAAGCCTGGTGGGGAACTGGGCACATCTGGGGCCCCTTGGGAGCCCAGGGCACTGAGGTTCTCGTATGCTGTTGTTCAAACATGGAGTGAAGGGGCTGGCTTGAGAGAGGGGATGTCCCCTCATTAAAGCATTTCAAGGATCCCCAAAGGGCGGTGGACTAACCCAAGCAGTGGTTTTCACATTGGGTTCTGGAGATTCCCGTGGTCATGGGGTCCCTGAGTGGTCCAGCTGGCCCTGTTAACCCATTTCATAGCTTAAGGGCTTCTCTTTTGGCCATTTGATAAGTTAGCCTCCTGCAAAGAGTCTCATTTAAGAGCAAGGGTTCTGCTGATGGAAAGTTGGAGAAGTGTGCAAACCACTGAGCCAGTGAGGGGTTCTCAAAGGGTGTTCCCCAAGCCAGCAACATCACCATCACCTAGGAACTTACTAGAAATGCAGATTATCAGGCCCCACCCAGACCTACTGAATCTGAAGCTGTGGGGCTGGGCCCCAGCAGTCTCTTGTCTCAACAAGCCCCCGGTGGACCCTAGCACACACCTAAGGTTGAGAACGGTCAGGGTGGACGATTTCTGGAGGCTCAGAATAGTAGCAGCAGTAACAGTGGCAACAGTGACTAGGACTTAAGCATTTGCTCCGTGGGATGCCCTGAGCCAAGCTCTTTAGGAGCCCTTCCTCAGCGGCTCCTTACCACCAGCTCCCTCCGGTCGGGGGTGGGGAGGGGGTTCTGTGGTTCTGTGATGGAAGAGAGGAGGCCCCGGAATGGGGAGTTCCTGACACCTGGGTGTCTGTCCCATCTCTGCCTTGGGTTGGCTGGGTGACTTAGGTAAACCCCTTTCTGAACCTCAGTTTCCCCAACTATAGAGTGGCATGTTGTACTTCAGGGCTTCTCTGATTTAAGTGCACCCAGAGCCACCAGGAGGGCGGTGGACACAGATGACTGGGCCCGCCCCAGAGCTTCTGAGCCGTGGGCCTGGGGTGACCCGTCAGTGACGCTCTGCTGTCACCCTCCCACGGGACCACCTTCCGAGGCCCACTGGAACCTCTGCCCCGCACAGGTGAGCTCAACGAGACGGAGTGTGACAAGCAGACATGCGAATGTGACAAGAGCGTGGTTCTGTGTCTCCGGAACCAGACGTACAACGAGAAGCATCGCAACTATCTGAACATCTACTGTCAGGGTCCCACGCCCAACTGCAGCATCTATGAGCCCCCTCCGGGGGAGGTGGCCTGCAGACACTTCTCCCCTGCTCCCCCCGCACCTCCCTAGTGCCCTCTGGGGACCAGACAGATGCAGGGGGAGGTGGGGATGAGACCGGGAGCCTGGGGGACTGCCTGGCTGCTTCTTCCCTGGAGCCTCCCCACCCCCCAGGAGATCAGCCCCAGAGGACTCGGGAAGGCCTGTGGCCCCCAGGCTCATCCGGCCCAACCCTGAGCGTGGCCGTGGCCCGCTGCGTGAGTCCTTGACTTGGCAGGGACGTCTCCTGTGTATGGAAGGCAGGGCCTGAGAGAGAAGAGGTGGGGGTCCTCTGAGGGGGGCCCCTGGCCCTGGCCCCAGGCTGACTTCCTCAGCCTGGCCCTCAAGGTGGGACCCTGAGGCCTTAGACACCAAGATCCTGAGCTGCGGGCACAGCCCCAGAGCTTGGTGTGTCCTCAGACAGGTTCCCAGACCAACAGCGTGCTGGTCCCAAGGCCTGGGCTCTGGAGGCCTCTTGGCTGCTCCTAGGCAATAACTCAGGGTGATCCTTGCTTTTTCTCTAGAGCCCCAGGGTGGGTGGGTGACCCAGAGTCCAGGCCCAGACTTCACAGGATGGCCACAGTGCTTAGCCTTTCAGCCCCCAACTCTGGCCTCAGGGCAGTCTCCAGGGCACTGACAGAACCCGCATCCTCAGCGGCACGCCCCTCGGTGCAGGGTGACCAAGACGGGGGCACAAATATGTCCCCCAGCACTCACAGGTCTTCCCCCGCCTCCCTGCTGAGCCGGCCCTGCAACACTGCATGGCTCTGAGGAGCACCCAAACCCAGGCTCCTGGGACCCTAACCGATGTGAGGGGACAGGGCCGTTCCCCCTCCTGGCTCCCCCCACCCCGCAGCAGCTAGGCCAGTGGGTGGAAAGACCCCAGACCCCTCTCTCCCTGGCAGGGAGAGGCGAGGCTGCACCCTGGGGTCAGAAGCCCTCTCAATGGGGAGGAGGCCGAGGGCTGGGACCCACCTCCATGAAGGGGGAAACAAAGGCAGGAGGGACCAGGTCCAGGTAGGAGGCTGTGGGGAAGATTCAGGAAGGCAGCGGGGAGGGAGCCACATGCTGAGGGAAGGGAGGGGAGAAGGCAGGACAAGGTGAGGCGTCCAGACCAGAGTGGTCTGGGCAGGAGAAGCGGGCTAAAGGAACCTGGGGCGCAGGGCCCCCCTTGGGCCCAGGTTCCCATTTGGCCGGGGGCTTGTGGGCAGAGGTGGAGGAGGGTCAGCCTCTGCGGGGCCAGCTTTCTGGACCCTGCGCCAGCTCTGCTGTTTCTCCAGGTGCGCCCTCCCCTGTCCCGCCTGCCTCACCTCTTGACCTCAAGCTCAGCGGCCTCCAAGAAGCCAGCATGCCCTGCGTCACCCTGAGGACCCACTGGCATAGCACTGTGACCCACCTGGACACCAAGAACAGCCGCCAGGAGCTTGGCCCGCCCTGCCAGGACCCTGTAGACCACTGTCCCCAGGGATGGTCCAGAAAGCCAGAGGCGAGAGGGGCATGGGGGTGGGAAGAGAATGTCTACCCCCCAAATGGCAGGACTGGGCAGAAGCCTTGCCCAGCTGCATCTTCTAGAACACCGGGCTTGGGGACTGAGGATGAAGCTGTTGGTTGGCGTTGGCTGTCACTATGCGTGGGAGGAGACCCTTCCACCACTCACCTCCCGCTGACTGGCGTGGCCTGGTGGCTGTGGTCCCCTGTGAGCCTCATCACTGACATCTTCCAGCTAATGAACTACCCTCTCCTGGCCATCTTGGGCGGGCCCATTATCTCTGAACCAGAGCCCCCACCAAGCCAGGGGTGGAGTCACGATGGGGCACCCAGAGTCCCCACTGGAGGTGGGGTGTGCAGAAGCCTTCGCCCCTCACCCGTGGGAGCCCAGCTTTCTGGCTGCGCCCCTCTAGCTTGCACAAACCTGCACTCCGGAGAGTTTGGGCCCATGTGTTGGGACGAGATTCTGCTGCCAAGTCTTGCCTGCCCCACCCCCCGCCTTGCTCCGGCCTGTCCAGGATGCTGCACCCCAGAGACACTCCATAGGACTCAGCAACCCCTCCTCAATCTAATAAAGGTCTCCTGCCTTGGCTCCCCACTGCTGGTCCTCCTTGGCATGGTACTCACTGGCTGGGCATCAGGGGAGGGCACAGAGCCTCCCTCCAGGATCTGCGGCTCTGGGGAAAGCAGGTTCTCTGACCCCTAGCAGCTGGCCTGGCCTGTCCCCTTCCTGCCCCGGGGCCTGGATGAAGTGGCCCACTCCAGCAGATGGGCGAGTGTCAGGAAGGCTGGTGTGTGCCAAAGGCTGGACAACGAGAACTGTTGGGCTGGGGGCTTTCTGGCGTCAATCTCCACCCTGTTCTTTGCTGTTGAACATGTGAGGCCCAGAGAGGGAAAGTAACTTGTCCAGAGTCACACAGGTTGTCAGTGATGGGCCTGGGTCTGACGCCTCGGGATCTGACTTTTTTCTTAAGATTTATTTTATTTATGTATTTATTTATTTATTAGAGAGAGAGAGAGAGAGAGAGAGTGAGGTGGGGGAGGAGCAGGGGGAGAGAGATAAGCAGACTCTGAGCCGAGTGTAGAGCCCGACTCGGGGCTCCATCTCACGACCCTGAGATCACGACCTGAGTTGAAACCAAGAGTTGGAAACTTAACTGAGCACCTTCTTAATGATGACTGGGCAGCTGGGGACAGTGGGGTCAGCGACTGAAAATCCAGCAGGGCACCAAGTCCTGGTCCTCGCCCTGGCCCCTTCTCTGATTTAAGTCCCTTCCCTTCCCTGTTGTGATCAGTTTCCCCATGTGCAGAGGGACCAGAGAAGCTGTTTCAGGCGTTCCCCAAAGCCCTGTGTTTTCCTGGGCACATCTGGAATGATCTCTGGGGCTCTGCTCTCCCCACCTCAATCTTCAATTGAGCAGCTCTGCTTTTCCTATATTATATACTGAGCATTCACACGAACTACTATAAGAAGAAAAGGACATTCTTCAGTAACTTTTTTCAAAGCTTGAAAGCCCCTGGACGAGATCATCCATTAGTTCATTCATTCCAATGGACCTATACCGATGGTCATCTATGGACCAGGCGTGATACCTTTGATCAGACACAGACCCTACCTGAGGAAGCCCATATACTGGTGGGGGGGGGAGACATGTGATAACCTTGCCATATGGTGCCAAGCAGTATCATGGGGAGCATGGAGAGCATGGAGATTGAAGCCCCAAGTATGTCCTTGGCCGTCCCAGAAGGGCCCCCAAGGGGCTAAGGGGTGGAGCTGAGATGGCATGTTTGAGGTCCTTGGAGGTGGAGGAGAGAGGTGAAGGGGTCACAAGTCTTGAGGAAGAGGCCCCTTGCTTCTGTAATCTGGGCGGGGGGGTGGTCTCTCCTTCCTCAGGACTCTTTCCAAATTAGGTCATTTAGGCTAAGGCTTGAGGAAGGGACCGCACTTGCCTTGGGCTGGTCATCAACAAAGACTTTGTCCTTGACCCCACTTTAGTTAGGCTTCTTTTTTTTTTTTTTTAAGATTTTATTTATTTATTTGAGAGAGAGAATGAGAGATAGAGAGCACGAGAGGGAAGAGGGTCAGAGGGAGAAGCAGACTCCCCGCTGAGCAGGGAGCCCGATGCGGGACTCGATCCCGGGACTCCAGGATCATGACCTGAGTCGAAGGCAGTCGCTTAACCAACTGAGCCACCCAGGCGCCCTAGTTAGGCTTCTTTGAGACCTTTCTCAACCAGGCCTTGACCTCAGGGTTTCTGTATCCATCTGCCCCGTTTCAGCAAGAATCCCATCTCACCCTCAATATCTGATCAAAGTCTTTAGCCTCCACCGTTTGCCAGGTGGTTCCTGATCACCCAGGCCTGCCTTCCCCAGGAATCCTGTTGGGTCAGTGTAGCAAGAATCATCCAACCCTCTTAGCGATCTTCCATCCACCAGCCTCTCTCCCTGGTCCTTGGCTATACACCCCCACCTAAGAAAGGGAGGATTCGTCATCGTTGTATTCAAAATGGAGAGCCCAGTTCCATACGGGCCCTTGTTGTGATGGTTCTTGAATAAAATTCGCTTTTACCATTGAAATGACTGTACATCTCCGGTTTTCTAACAGCTGTGGTGTCATGACTCGTGTGAGATCAGATTCATGGTCATCGGACCCCGGGCCATGTCACCTAGGACCCCGAGTGGGCAGCCTGAGGCCTTTGTCTTCAGTCCTGACTGACTGATCGGGGACCCATTGTGAGCCCGACTCCTGAGCCAGGGCTCCGGGTAAATGCCCACTGGAGCACAGCAAGGATAGGTTTTGGTTCTTAAGGTTCTGAGTACACTCGGTGAAGCTGGATGAGAGTTACAGGCTGCTTTGTTGGACAGATACCTGCTGGGCTGGGAGTCTTTCTTCCCGGCCCTTTCTTTTGAGTAGGGATTCTCTCCCTGACTCCCGATGCTGGAATATTTTTCCTGGCTCTTTGGGAAACCTCTCTATTCTATTTGATCCTGCTTCTTCCAAGGAAACTTCTTAGTTGACTGAAGCCGCCCATCCCTTCCCGACCCTCTGCAGAACTTGGAACTTCACTGCTTCCTCTAAGACTTCTCCCTTCCCATGTCCCCACCTACCTTCTTTGATCTGCCCTTCAGTTCCCTTGTATGCCCTGATATGACCCTTTCAAACCCCTGCCTCCTCCCTCCCTCTGCCTGCCCATGCCAGCCCTTTGGGCCCTTGAATATCTAGCTCCCTGTCTCCATCAGGTTTTCTCAAGGGACTCAGGGACCCCTGGAAGCAACCACCTAAAGCTAAGAAGGAAAATGTTCTTTAGAAACAGACTAGATATTTTATTCACTTAGATGGGCTTTGGAGACATCCAGGCAGCTTCTTGATGTCCCCTCAATCTCTCCCCTAAAATGTATTCCACGGCCTCCTTAAAATTACATATTGGGGTGGGGGCCGCCTGGGTGGTGCAGTCAGTTGAGCCTCTGACTCTTGATTTTGGCTCAGGTCATGATCTCAGGGTTGTGGGATCAAGCCCCGTGTCAGGCTGTGCACTCAATGAGGAGTCTGCTTCTCTCTCTCCCTCTGCCCCTCCCCTGCTTGTGCACGCTCTCTCTCTGAAATAAATATACAAAATCTTTTTTAAAAATTACATATTGGGGCAACTGAAAAGCTTAAAAGTCTCCTCCACAAACACTGGTAAAAAGCTTTAACTCTCATACTGAATAAACAACCTTAACTTGTCCCATTTGCCAGAAATACAATTCAGATAAAAAATACAAAATGGAACAAAGATGAGATCCAACTATTTTATACAAACCAGGGATCTTGCGTCACTAGGCTTTGCTGATTCATGGCTAAAATTTTAGACTGAAACCTGTAAGATCTCTGTCTGCATCTGTCAGTTTGTGTGTGTAATGTATGTGTGATATCGTCCTAATCAAGATGACGTTACCAAATTAATTCATGAAATCACTTCACGGAGCTCTATTCAAAATAGCTTAGATATAAATCAGCACTCCTATTAATTAATATTCCTAAAACACCCAGAAATATAGAAACTAACCCAGATATTTTCCAAGCCTATATGATTTGAGCAATTCTTGGTTTAATAGCATTGGTTGAACAAAAACAGCCATGTTTTCTGAGTTATCAACAATAAAGGATAATACGAACATATGTTTTATTCTACTGGGGTTTAGTAGTTAAATAAAGTAATGTCATCTCTACCAGATGTCTAAGATTATAAAAAATTATAAATTGAACCGAAGAACAAATGTCTAAGTCAGGGTGCAGTAAAAATGAATTGCTTGATATCCATTACTTTGTGTAGATCAAGCACTGCAGAAAACCTGTGTATTTAGCTTTTTTAGGCTTTTGCTTTCATGATGCTTGCCTAACATGCACGGGCTGTAAAAAGAGTTTACGGAAATAGCTTGAGATGCTGTATAATTTTGCCCAATGTTCAAATATGCTTGCCTAAGAACAGTTTCCAAAATTTTTTTAGTGGCTTGCCATCTTAACGGTTATGTTAAATTAAATTAAGTAATAGGGAGTCATTAAATATCTAAATCATTTCTAAGTCAGATAAACCACTAAGACATTAATTACTAAGCACAAGTGTAAGCTTACATACTTTTGGCTTTTTATTCTTATATGGTATAGAGAAATATCTTTGGGTCTATTAATAAGCATGAAAAGTTGTACTAGAAGAAGCATATATTTCTAGAAATTGTGAGATGGTATATTCATAAAATTTACTAATATACTATAGAATGTTGATATATAGCAGACTGTTAACAACTGTCTACTTCCTCGTTTTCACTTGAAATTAAGATTACAATGGGTTGAAAATTCTAATCATACATAAATGAATTGCTAGAAATTTCTAGGAATAATAAGAGTGAAGAAAAAAAACTACATGCAAATTATGCAAGAATATGGGCTATATTTCTGTTAAGGAAAAAGGAGAGTAATATTGTCTGCAATGTACAAATTGCTTAGAGCTTGTTTAAAAGTTACTCCAGAATGAGAAAGAGGAAAATATAGGGAAAAAAAGCACATTTGTGTGGATATAGAAAGTTGTAGAGGGTTTGTGGAAAAAGAATTTCATGTGTGGTCAAGCTGCCTTAGATTGAATTGATTTATTTATAAGGTTTTAAAAATGAGCCCGATAGTGTACAGATGCAAAACTAGCATTTGGTTTTCTTTCTGTTGAAACAACAAACTTTTCTTGGATTATTGGTCTGCTCTTTCTATGAGATTGTAGAAAGCTTTTCTTTACCTTTCAAGTAAAACTGCCTAGGAGACAAAGATTTTGTTTTATCCGAATAATTTCCTGTGTTTACATTAACCTTATCATGTCACTGATTATTTAAGAGAACACAGACTTCTCACCTAAAAAAAAAAAGTATTTATTTGAGGAAGAGAGAGAGAAGGTGTGTGCATGACCACGAGGGGCAGAGGGAGAGGGAGATGCAGATTCCCTGCTGAGCTGGGGGTCTAGAAGCAGGGCTCCATCCCAGGACCCTGAGATCCTGACCTGAGCCCAAGTCAGATGCATAACTGACTGAACCACCCAGGTGCCCCCCC